TACTATTTTTTCCTACCTTTTTTTATGACTTAAGAAAAGCAAAGAAAATGGAAAAAAAAATCCTGACACAAAGGATCATAATTCATGCATGAAAGGGTTAATTTACTTTTCATATGCATCTACCAGCAACTGGATTTAATTTGGGTGACTGATGTTTTAATTTTTGAGCTGATACTCATTAGATGATGCAAAGTATTGCAACATAGCTAATCCTTTTAGACGCAATACTTTACGTTAGAAAAAAAATCAAAGTACAATCAACAACGTTGTTAAACTAATCTGCATAAAACTGATACAAAAAGCCACAAGCATTTGATCTTTCGATACCACTTTTTGTTTTTCCAGTTGTCTAGCTCTTGATTTCTCATAAATCTTCAAAAAAGAACCTGCTATATTCTTGTGCTACAGAAGTTGAACTTCTCTTCCCCCCACATTTGAAATGTGTCAAGTGACTTTGCAGCCCCTTCTTTCCCATAGTGACATCTCTTAAGCAACGCAGAAACTCCGCTCTTCTGCAGCGCCGTGACTTGAGGTCATTTCGTTCAAAATGCTTACTAAATGTCAGAGGCGGTCAAGCGCCTCTCCAAGAACACAATCCGCCCTAAAAGCTGCTGCTGGCCACCTGTCCATCACATCAGCGCTTTCTCAGGTTATTGCTTATGACGTTTAACCCCTTCACGTCTTTTCATCAAGGCAAAATCACTGTCAGATGATATGATTGGCTATGATGGATAGCGGACACGTTTGTGATTGGATGAGACAGTGGACACAAACTTCCTTGAGGTGAGGTTATTCTCCGCTTGCTTCTTTGAACTTGAACAATATTTATAAAAAAATAATAATTCTAAGACATATTTGGAAGAAATCAGGAAATTTATTTTTAGCTTTTTAATATTTATAGAATTATTTATCTACCATAATTGAACGTTTTCTGATTATGTGCAAAAAAAAAAAAAAAAGTGAAATGTAGTATTTTTCACTTGATGCTAAATATAAAATAGCTGTTAGCTTTGGTAGTTGGAATGTTTGTAGTTTTAGTAAAGTCACTGGATGGAATCACTCTGACATAAGATGCAGAATCAACGCTCTGATAACCGTGAACAAAACAGCATCTATTAAGAGGCACATATGTACAAGTCTACCCCCCTTGCAGCTGGGTAAGGATCACGCCTGTGCCAATGCGATGGGAAATCCTAAAAGGCAGAGAAAATAACCCAAATAGCAAGTGTTTAAATATCAGGAGGGACAAACAGAGAAAGTACAATAGAAGCTGAGAAGCAGCCGCTCCGGAAGCATCTTTGCCCTGCAAATGGTTTTCCAGGCGCTGAAACAGTGCTGCCAAATGAAATGCTGTCTGTTTACATACTGTACAAGTGCAAAAGTTAGCAGTTGACACAGGCAGCAAAGTGTGATTCTGCCCCTGCTCGGAAAGTCACAGTTCATATTGCACCAGACCAAGTGTGAGGGTCTCGTTCAGAAGAAGGGAAAAAAAAAAAAAAAAACAATGACGCGGACATCCTGACTGTCATCTGCTGTAGTTTTTTTTTTTTTACAAACAGATTACCTCTCTCTGTTGAACTTGAGGGAATGGAGGACTGCTGGTCTTTTCTGCCTCAGGTTCCACAAGTGGACGCTGTCATCGGCCAAAGCACTCACCAGCGCTCCCTGTTACACCAGAGATAAAGTTTTGTTTTATTTTAACTTTTCAAAAAATAAAGTCCAATATTCAGAAATACATGAGGTTAAAACAGAATTTTTCATAAACACGTCCTCAGACTGCATTCCCTCCCGCCCGAGAACATTAATCACATTCCCAGGCAGTTTGCTCCCAGGTAACGCTGATGATTCATAAGATGTATAAAAGTGTATGCGTGCATGTAGGAGGAACTAAAAATCATCTCCATCTCCCCGGAGGATTTGTTTGAGCTGCTGAGTCACAATCACACAGACGCAGAATCACAAGCGCGCGCACGCACGCACGCAGACAAAACACACACGACTGAGCATGAAATGCTGCTTTCACCAAATACGTTTCAAAACATAATCAAGGTGGTTTTATTAAGTGACTCAGAACGGCCTGGAGGTAATCCAGACCACGGGCATGTTTAAGACTGCCCGATTCCCTCAGAGCTCGCCGATATTTGTGTCTGTCTTATTGTTTTATAATAATATATAGATATAATTTTGAATTTAGTTTGAGCCATTGCAAAGCAAGGTATTGGTTGAGCTGGTAAAAGTAAAAAAAAGAATAAAAACTTTCTTCAAAAGATGTGATTTTTAATTTTTCAAAAATGCTTCTTTAAATGAAAACAGACGATAAGCACATTAATATTAATGTTTTTAATGTCATCTGAGAGCGTTATTTTTTTTATTTTTATTTATTTAATTTTAAATCAGGGTTATTCATAAGCATACTAAATATACATTCAATGTACATTCCTTACTCCTAATGTCTTTCTTTTGAATTATATCACACACACATTACTTTCCTAATTACTCCTTTAGCATAAATAAATATTTTGCATTAAGAAATATTTTCGAACAGAATTTAATTCTGGTCAAAATAGAGAAACAGGAATTGGATAAATCCGGCAGATAATGAACTTACAAGAAACAGATTCAAAAATGGACCACAAATCTCTGATCACAAAACATTGGGATTGGATTTATTCAAAACCTTTCTAGTCAAAAACACAAAAGGTGTTCTCAACACCTTTTGTGTTTTTCATCCATCCACACCTGTACAATACATCGACAAGCAACTTGGACTCTTCCAAAGGACTCTTCAGGCTGCGCCACAGCAAAGCTGCAACCATCTGGCATCTGAGGCATAAAAATTGAAATGGGACCCACCTCATTGATGAGAAACTGGAGCTGGATGACGGCCGCGCCGCTCTCATGCTGACAGTAGCATTCGACCCCCGGACGACCAAACCTGGAGAATCTCAGTCAAGAACTATAGCTCTGCAGATGTGCGAGTTTGAACAGGAAGGCTTTAAAGTAAGCAAACCACTTTTATTTACTTCTGATTGTAGCTTCACGAAATGTATACACAGATAAGGATGTTACTATGCTGATCTGCCTCTCCTTTCACATGTAAGAATAAATTGGCAAACAGTCTCAGCCATCTTTGTATAGAGTCAAGTTGTTACAAGTGTCAGAAGAAAAGTAAGAAAACCCTGATCTAACAGACGAGTTTACTGAAACGTTCAGCCCCTTTGAGCTGTACAATTAGTCTGCAAAATATTTTGCAGACTGTCAAGACGAAAGCAAAACTCCTTGGAAGACGCATCCATTGCTACATCTGGTTTAAAATACAATTTAATGGAAAGAAAATCTGGCATGGCAACGTGGCAATTACATTGACAGAACCATGAATTCTCCTCTCAAGCAGAAAATCCTGAAGGAGAATGCTGAACAGTTCATGTCCTTAGAATTCAAAACACTTTCAATAAATGTTCTTCAGTTTGGTTCAAGAAACTGAAAGAAGCAAGTAACAGAAAAAAAATAATAATTAATCTGCACTCATAAACATAGAAATTCAGAAAGGCATTGAGTTGCGTTGGAAGCATAAATTCACAGCATAATAAGGTGACCTGGTCACTTTATTGTGGACTACCATATTCAGTCAACTTGTGACGAAAACAAAAGAAACTTCCAAAACACCATCAGGCAGACATTCATATGTATATATGTACACATGGAAACTGAATCAGGACTTTATGCAGAGAATACGAAAAATGATCCCAGAGAGAAAATTGAAGTGAGAGTACAAATGCAATTGGAAGAACTCTTATGACAGCTACAGAGAAAGGACAGAGCATAAGGGAGGAACTGAATTTCAGAAGTAAACAGAAGAAAAGATAAACAGGAGGAGACTGACAGAGAATAAGGGGTTTCACTGTTCAAGGAAGATGAATGAGTAACCTTACTGATTATATCCATTCATTCTCCCCAAGAACGTCAGCTGGGGATGGCAATTTATCACGAAGGGAACATGGAGGTGTGACCATCTTAGAGTCAACAACACTACTGTTCATCAAACATGTGCATGCACTGATGGAAGTCATTTTATTTGGAGTCAGCAAAACCACCAAGCTGCATGTACCTGTAGACACGAAGAAATTTAACAACCATAATTTGAACACCTTCTTTAAATCAACAAGCATACAGCAAGAGAATACAACAAGGTTCCCCCACCTAAAAGTCTCAGCAAGATATTAGAGGGAAAGGAGCTTCTCACCTTCCTCATATCTGCTTCTAGACTCTTCAGGTGAATTATATGCCATGTTATTTTATCCTAAAGAGGCAATCCGAGGATTAAATCTGACCACCGAGGATCCCTTGACCAGAGAAAATATCCACCAGCTTTAGTGGATTTAAGCCAATAAGCCTCTAGGGGGAGTGAAGACACTTGAACCGCAAGGCCAGGAGGGTGCAACCAAGTCAGTAACAATCGAATCTTCCACCAAGTCATGTGGACAGCTTAGATTAAAAAGCATGAAGATTATTTGGCCTGTTTAACCCTCAATGAACCTCTGAGAGCCAAATCTGTCCCAGAGAATGCAGAAGGTACTCAAGAGTATGAAGAGATTTTATTAAAATACAAATCAAGTTTCTTCAGAGTCCAGATGAGAGTGATGGGGTAAAGTGAAGCATGAAAGATTGTTTGAGAAAATTAACTCTTTTTTTTTTTTTGGTGCAGAGTAAATTTTATAAACAACCCATATACAAGGACTGCGTTTGATCAAATAGAAATACATAAGATGGTATTATAACCAAGTGTAATTATCACAGCTTCACAAAATGTTTATACAAAATGTATACAGTCTTAAATCATGGCATTGCTTGTATTTAAAAAGAAAAATACTTGTTCCATTTTTACTAAGATAACACATATTACCATCATAACTAGTGTGTTATATACCCAAGGTTTTCAAACTGTGACAAAAGCAACAGCTGTGGTAGCTGGGAGATATTGGGCGATAAAGATGAGTCATTTAAGCTTACATTTTAAAAGCTCCCAGTTTAAACTGAAGCGGAAAACGGTGAAAACCACGGGGTATTAAACGTTAGAAGTAGTGAGCTTTTAGGACAGCTGAAGCCCTGTGACCAGGGATCAAACTGTTTCTACAAGCTGAAATTACACTGATTAACATCTAGTGCTGGTAAGATTATCGGGCGCTGTTATTTTTGTTTTTTATAACAACGATAATGATAATAGTAGGAAAAGTCAAAAAGGTTGTATGACTCACAAAGTCAGAAAAACAAGCAGGTCTCCCTGCAGATCTGTGTAAATCTTTCACAAATCGTCCTCTGCTCAGAACCCATCCTTCATTTCTGCACAGAACGTTGATGGGCATAAATGCAGCAGCACAGCAAGGTGTTAGGCACAATGCTTTGGACCCAACAACGGTGCAAACCAGCCAACTCGGAGTGAGTTAATTGAAAGCTCTGTCCTAATGTTGCCTGGCAACCAAATCTTCCAGGGGCTCAGAAAGAGAGAGGAAAGGATTTAAGGTTGTGCTTTTTAAACTGCTCATTTCGCCTTCTATTTGAAGAGAGCCAGCCGTCCGACAACTCCATTATCATAGCACACAGACACACACACACAGTGACCCAGACGGCACTTAAAAACATCTGGGAAATGTATTAACAATGTCTATGCATTTTGTGCGCCTTTAAATGGGAGATAATTCAAAGATCATAAGTCATGGGGTTGGTGTAATGATCAAGGTAAACACAGGAATCATATAAATCGCAATGAAGTCAATATTATTAAACAACACTTTTGCTTTATTTTTAAAAAGGAAATATATACTTCCTTCTAAATGCTGTGTTACAAGATATTATGTTTTCCCTCAGGCAAGACGTTTACTACAATTTTCCATGGACAGGCTGGATGCGAAGAAACATTTTGTTGTGCACATTATTTTAATTTAACATTACTAATGTTTGACACTGTTGAACAAAAGTCGTTTTAACTACCTTGTAAGAAATTGTGGTAATCATAAACATTCTCTGTCCACAGCAGACGATAAATAAGTGCAACAATGAATCAATCCAAATGAAGACCAGTGGTAAAAAGATTTGAAACCTGGCAGATTTTGACCTCAAGTGTACACTTAAATCAATCAATTCAATTTATTCTAGTAACTAACAATCAATGCTATTTTAGGAGCAGCCATCTTCATTTTAAAATAAAAACAGTTAACCCCACGAAGCCAATGTATAATTTTTCACAAATCTCCAACTTGAAGCCCAGTTAAAATAATAAGCAGCATGTGTTTAATGTCTATTAGTGATACTCGAATGCATTTCAGCCTAAAACATTCTGTCCCTTACTGAATTAAAAAAAAAAAAAAAAAACACCCAGCACTTTCCAAGAAAAGATCACCGACATCTCAGCTGTCCATATTTTTCCGCCGTTTTAACAAACATGACCTAAAGTTCCTCTGATGTGCCCCCCCCTCAATCAACGTGGGCCAGGCCTCGCAGGAGATGCTGCTGACAGGAGCATTCCTCATTCCTTTTAAGCCGAGTGAGGTCTCTATGCCGGTCCACATCCTCTCCCCACACTGCACCAACTCTATAAGTAGACAGACTGGCCGCGGGCAGCGATGGCAACAAGACAAGAGTACAGGAAGACAGAGAGTGAAAGCAGAAAGTGGGTCAGCTTCGTGTCCCGTCAAATCCAATGAAAATTTCTGGAGCTTTTCTAGAAGTCAGAGTTGACTGAATTCACTTTCATATTGCTCCATTTCTGTCCCAGCCACAGGCCTATTTCCTTATAAACAAAAGGTAAATCGCTGGGTATTTGGCTAAGTGATGCGGCTGGAGAACACTGGAAAATTATAAAAGGTTTTTTTTTTTTTTATACTGAGGGATACTAAAGGTGTAGCTGAAAATAGATGAGATAGACACCAGAGGAGGGGCTTTCAGCTTTTCTCCACAATTTTTTTTTTATTTTCTTTTTTATTTTACTTGAAAAGATATCTACCTGGTTCAAAAGAGAAAAAGAAAATATGCACACCCTTTCTAAAATACTGTATGTTCAAAATTTCTTCCGACACAGAAGGGTCAGAAAATGTCAAAGTGATGCAAGCCAGAAAAGAATGAATGACGAGAATATTTAGAAAGAAAAAGAGGAAAAGCAATAGGACGGAGGGTGAGAGAGAAAGCGCCAGAGCGAGCAAGCCTGGGAGCATTGAGTTGCTATGACGTCGGGCCTGAAGTGACGTAAAAGCTAGCCACTCATACATCACTCTGGCAGGGAGGGGGTTGGGACCAGATCAGAGTCTGATCTGCAATGGGCTCAGAGGAAGGAATCAGGCTACTGAAGTTAGGAGGCAGAAAACGGAATAAAGTGATTGGGAAAAAAAAAGAAAAAAAAAACTGAAATAGGAAAGGGAATTAGCCTGAGAAGGACCAGAGCAGGACAAGGTTAAAACAGGGTTAAATTCACAACCCGTTTAAATTATGAAAACGGAAGCTTAGCTGTTTGTTCCCACAGTACAAATCTTCCACGATGCTGCAGCCTACCTTGACCTCAGACTATCGAACCGTCGTCTGTCACCCGTCTCTCAGCCAGATCTGATTTAGAGGTTGCTGAGAGCCGATTTCCTCCACACAATTGATCCTGTAATGATCTAAGTCAGTTACTAAGATACATACTTCTCCTAAAAAAAAAATAAATAAATAAAGCGAACTTTGGGTTTCTTTACGAGAACAAAGTAGAAGATTTTCTCCTCACCTTGTCAACAATTGTGCAAATTTAGCAATTGTCTTCTTATTTTGAAAAAGTCAACATTGCAATGGTCACTACATGCCCTCTGGGGAGAGATGAGGGAGGGATTGGTGGGTTTTGTTGCACCTATACTTCTTCTGTTTGTTAATTTAAATGAAAAGATCTTCAAATATAATTGCTTTGAATCA